ACACTTTTAGACAAAGGCATCAAAATGAACAATAGCTGAAAAAATATTAAAGTTTTTTTTTGTTTTTAGACAGGATTTCATTCAGATAGGCTAGGGGGCGGTGACACGACCATGGCTCACTGCAGCCTCAATCTCCCACACTTGTGATCTTCCCACCTCAGCCACCCAAGTAGCTGGGACCACAGACACATGCTACCATGCCCAACAGATTTTTGTGTTTTTTTGTAGAGACAACATTTTACCATGTTGCCCAGGCTGAACTCCTTGAACTCCTCTTGAATTCCTGGGCTCAAGCAATCTGCCTGCCTTGGCCTCCCAAAGTGCTGGGATTATAAGTGTAAGCCACTATGCCTAGTCCATGCCCAGCTAATTCTTACGTTTTTTTTTTGTAGAAACAGGGTCACTCTATATTGCTCAGGTTGGTCTTAAACTTCTGAGCTCAAGTGATCCTCCTGCCACGGCCTCCTAAACTACTGGCCAATATAGAATATATTATTCTATATATATATAGAATGGTGTCTTGCTCTGTTGCCCAGGCTGGAGTGCAGTGGCTCGATCTTGGCTCACTGCAGCCTCCACCTCCCCGGTTCAAGCGATTCTCCAGCCTCCTGAGTAGCTGGGATTACAGGCATGTGCCACCACGCCTGGCTAATTTTTATATTTTTCAGTAGAGATGGGATTTCACCATGTTGGCCAGGCTGGTCTCGAATTCCTGACCTCAAGTGATCTGCCCACCTCGGCCTCCCAAAGTGCTGGGAGTACAGGCATGGGATTCAGGCAAGAATGTTCTTTAGTAAGAAAATTGGATTGAAGAAAGAGCCAGGAGGAAAGAAACAAAGTGGAGGGGGAAAAGGGGGCAAATATGTGGGTAAATATAAATAAACATTAACTACTGAAAATAATGATTAATTTGGGAATTTAAAAAGGTAAAACCAAAACACTGACAATGATAGTATACAAATTGGGAGGAAGTTGATTACAGTTAAAACACTAAGATTCTTATATTATTTGTGAGAAAGGCAGAAATAGATTAAATCTAGTCTTTATTTCTTCTTTTTTTTTTTTTTTCTTTGAGACAGACTCTTGCTCTGTCACCCAGGCTGGAGTGCAGTGGCATGATCTCGGCTCACCTCTACCTCCCAGGTTAAAGCATTCTCCTGCCTCAGCCTCCTGAATAGCTGAGACTACAGGTGCCTGCCACCGCGCCTGGCTAATTTTTGTATTTTTAGTAGAGACGGGGTTTCAACATGTTGGCCAGGCTGGTCTCAAACTCCTGACCTCATATGATCCACCCACCTTGGCCTCCCAAAGTGCTGGGATTACGGGTATGAGCCACCGTGCCCAGCCTACTTCTTCTTTTATTAAAAAAATATCTTTTAAGAACAGGTAAAACTAATCTACAGTGACAGAAGTCATAATAATGAATACTTTGCAGGGATCTGTGACAAGGAGGGAGCATGAGGAATAAGAAAGGCTGTGGGGGGTGCTGGTAATGTGCTATTTCTTGATCATTACACTCAGTGGTCGTTTAATAGATATATTTACTTTGCAATGTTTTAATGAGCTGTTTTATCATTTATATACTTTTCGGTACATAATGAAATGCCTGTGTATAAGTGTATGTATGTAGTATCATAGAAAGATAGTCTTTGTCCCCATTCTTGGCACAGAGCTCCTAATTCCCTAAGAATTTTCTGAGTACTGAGAGTGACAGGATTGTCTTTTGTTTCAATGAGATTACTCTTGGTGGGCCTCTAGGTAGCTTCATGATGAGGGCTAGTTGCCTGAAAGGCCAAGCCTTTATAAGAAACTTTGAATTTTCAGCCTCACGCCTGAACCTCCAGGGCCGGGGAAACAGCTGGAGCCTGAATCAATCACTAGGGGCTAATGATTTAATCAAGCATGCCCACATAACGAAACCTCCATAAAAACCCCTACCCAATAGTGTTCGAAGAGTTTGTGGGTTGGTGAACATATCAAGGTGCTGGGGTGGGGTGGGTGTTCCTGGAGCAGGCATGGAGACTCCACACCCCATCCCTATACCTTGCCCTATGCATCTCTTCCATTTGACTGTTCCTGAGTTGTATCCTTTATAATAACTGGCAAATGTAGTAAAGTGTTTTCCTGAGTTGTGTGAACTGTTCTAGTAAATTATCAAACCTGAGAAAGGGGTCATGGGAACCCCTGATTTACAACCAGTCACTCAGGTGGTCTGGGACTTGTGACTGGCATCTGAAGTAGGGGTGGTCTTGTGGGGTTAAGCCCTTTTAACTTCGAGATGAGATGCTAACTCCAGGTAGATCGTGTCAGAATTGAATCAAATTGTTAGATATCCAGTTAGTGTCTGGAAAATTGGAAAAATGGTGGTGGGAAAGACCTGGTGTATTTGGTGTCAAGAAGAAAAAAGCCCCTCACTGTAATATTTCTGTAGAAGTTATAAAAGGAAACCCTACAGCACTGTTTACACAAAACTAAAATTCTGATAGACTGTAAAGATATCATGTTAAATATGTATCCTAAAAATAATTTTTAAAATGCATGTTAGTATTTATATAATCTTGGGTAGGAAAGAACCTTCCAGGCATGACACCAAAGGCAGAAATCACAGGTAGCTGTGACAATATAAAATTAAAATAATAACAACAAAACTTTTATACAACAAAACACTGTGAATAATATAAAAAAAATATAGAGGAAAAAGATTTGCAAAATATATACTAGACAAATGGCCAATAACCTTAATTATATACATAGAATTTTAAAAATTATTATTATTATTTTTTTATTATACTTTAAGTTCTAGGGTACATGTGCACAATGTGCAGGTTTGTTACATATGTATACATGTGCCATGTTGGTGTGCTGCACCCATTAACTCGTCATTTACATTAGGTACATCTCTTAATGCTATCCCTTCCGCCTCCCACCACCCTACGACAGGCTCCGGTGTGTGATGTTCCCTACCCTGTGTGCAAGTATTCTCATTGTTCAATTCCCACCTATGAGTGAGAACATGTGGTGTTTGGTTTTCTGTCCTTGCGATAGTTTGCTCAGAATGATGGTTTCCAGCTTCATCCATGTCCCTACAAAGGACATGAACTCATCCTTTTTTATGGCTGCATAGTATTCCATAGTGTAGATGTGCCACATTAAAAAAAATTATTAAGAAAAAAAAGGAATACTCCAATTGTGGAATGGGCACAGAATATGAACTAGCAATTCACAAAAGAAATACATAAATGGCCAGTGAGTTCTGGACACTAACAAAGAGGTTAGTAATTGGCCCAAGTTCACAAAAATAGTATGAGGGAAATCAGGATTCAAACCCAAGAAATCTTATCCAATAAATATTTGTTTAATGAACGAATGATTATATATTCAACACTAGAAGATGTTTACATCAGACTGCAAAATGAAAGTTAAAAGGCAGAATGTATGATGAGATCCCTTTCTGCCCACACAGTCACACAAACATCTATACAGGCTTAGAAAAAAGGCCTGAAAACACTAAAATGTAACAAGTGGTTAGATTATGGAAACTTTGTACTTTCTGAATTAAAAAAATTCAGAATATGCATATATTAATTCCATAATAAAGGAGAAAAGTTACATTAAAAACCAAATAATCCTACAAAATAAAAAAGCATATAAATACTTTTAATGACTCCAAATTATCTATGTATACATGGCTCAGCATAGATCGCTCAGGGTCACCAATCTTTAGATTCAACAATCATGTCATGGTTCTCCAGTCTTTTCCTCTTCTACCTTTAGCTGCCAAATTAATCTTCCTTAAACACTGTGGCTTTCTTGTAATCACTGCTTTCAATAATTCCCCATTTTCTATGTAAAAAAGTATAAATTCCCAAGTCTGGCACTCAAGGCCTTCCACAATGATGGCATTCAATCATCTTTTCACTTTATTACACACATTCCAGCTAGTTGACTATTTGCTGTTCTTTGTGTATGTATGTTGCCTACAGCTTTCTTTTTTTTTTTTTTTTTTGAGATGGAGTCTTGCTCTGTCGCCCAGGCTGGAGTGCAGTGGCCGGATCTCAGCTCACTGCAAGCTCCGCCTCCCGGGTTCACGCCATTCTCCTGCCTCAGCCTCCCGAGTAGCTGGGACTACAGGCACCTGCCACCTCGCCCGGCTAGTTTTTTGTATTTTTTTAGTAGAGACGGGGTTTCACCGTGTTAGCCAGGATGGTCTCGATCTCCTGACCTCGTGATCCGCCCGTCTCCACCTCCCAAAGTGCTGGGATTACAGGCTTGAGCCATCTCGCCCGTTGCCTACAGCTTTTATAACTTGTTCATGTGGTTAACTGAACCTAGAATGTGCTCTCCCTCCATATGTCCTTTTCACCCAAGGCTCAGCTAATATACTATCTTCTATGTGAAACATTTGCTAATTTCCCTTAGTCACTCTGAGAATCCTTGGCCCTTTCATCTGCCTCTCTGGGCACATATTTTCTTATTTTTAAATCTTTCCTAATAGATAATAACTTGAGGTAGGATCTTTAGATTATTCATCTTTGTATTCTTACTGAATACTTGCTAAGTGAATAAAGTTAATCAACAAAATAGAAAAACTCCCAGACTTCAATACCATTAAGAAAGTCTAAGCTGTGGCTATTAGGTTTCTCCTTCTTTAAAAAAAAAACAAAAAAAACCAATTTTTAATTTTTCCCCCTTCCTTATGAAGTAGGTCCAAGGGTTTCTCCTTTTTTGAACACACAGGAAATACAAATTGTTAACAGTGTAAGATGGTTCTTACTTTCTAGGTCTTTGACCAAATAAAGAGATTTATGAACTTAATGAACTTAACTACTATAGATCCTTTGTTTCACAAATTCTTAAATTATTCTGGAGCTGCAAACACCAGAGAATTTCAGTCTACAGCAGTTTGGTTAGTATTGACCAAATTTTTCCAACATAAAGGGAATTTAAGCTTTATCCTCTGGGAAGGAGGACACAGCTGTAGAATGAATGTTCTCCTTTACCTTTTCGTGTTGTGCACCGTGGTGCCTCCCAGGACAATCCTCACTCCAGGAGTGGTGCGGTTCAGGTTATAAACTGTTAGAGCCTCTTCATAGGTGGCTCCTCCAATTACAAACACAATGATATCCTGAGGTCTGCAATAATGAAGAATGAGATAATATCACAGGATAAGAAAAAAAAAAAAAAAAAGACTGTGACTTATATACACAGAGTTTTAATTTCTAAACCTTTTTTTTTGGTGGAGGAAGCAGAATTAAAGCAGAATAGAATAAAAGGTTTAAAAAAAGTTTTAATTATCTGAAATTGGCAGGAAACAGAGCAGGAAATGCTGAATAGTGATTTGCTTTCTGTTTATGAGCGGATGTCTTATAATTTCTGTGCTGTGGATTTCAGAATAGCACAATAGTGTTTGCTGGAACCAAATGTAGAAATATTCTTTTATATTCAAGAGGGTGCAGAGTGCTTTACCGTCACATGATATCAATACAGCAGTATTTTATGTTTGTATGCTTGTATTAATACTACACATCTCCTTTCATGTATAAGCCTTTTGTCAAATACTTAGTACAGTGCTATTACAATGGCCTCTGTCCAAGGACCTCAAAACATTTTTGAAAGAACTGGCATATTCGCATGTCCCCAAAACATGGGAACTAGAAACATTTAGTATTTTGAGTATAAAAAAAAGAATGGGACACATAAATTAATGGTGCTTCTAGGAACTCCATCTTTTCTTGAAATATTTTTTCTGAATCCTTTGATAAACCAAGAAAAAGAAACCCAAAAAAACCATGAGTGTAGCTGATACTGGACATGTGAACACAGCTCAGTCACTAGCTTTACTTGAGTAGCACTGTGTTGTTTTACTGTTTCCTGTTTCAATCCTTATCAAAATGGCTTCATAGCAAAATGAATGTTCCTCCTATCAGCTCCTTCTGTAGATATCACCAAGAAGGAGATCAAATTATTTTCAAAATCACTAATGTTTGTCCTGTTTTTCTTTTCTCATGCTATCAAAAGAAGATAAAATTAATCCTACTAGGCAAATAATTTTGTTAAATCACTCATTGGACACTAAAACTACATCAAGCAGAAGCATCCATTTTGAATGTTATTGCACAAAACTAACCAGAAACATCTTTAATCAAGGAATATACATGCTTGTGTATAAATCTTGAAAAAAACCCTAACCCTACATTTCCTTCCTGCTTGTCTCTCTCTCTCTTTCTAAAATACCTTGAAGGAATTAACTAAGAGAGTATTTGTTCTTGTGGGACTTCACTGAAACAGAATCAGCTATTGTGGCTATTTTTAAATGTTCAGATAGTCTCTAAATTGCAGAGATTCCCCAGTAAAAGTTATACAAGCCCAAGCACGGTGGCTCATGCCTGTATGCATTTTGGGAGGCCAAGGTGGGTGGATCATTTGGCGTCAGGAGTTCGAGACCAGCCTGGCCAACATGGTGAAACCGTCTCTATTAGAAATACAAAATTAGCCGGGTGTAGTGGCAGGTGCCTGTAATCCCAGCTACTCGGGAGGCTGAGGCAGGAGAACTGCTTGAATCTGGGAGGTGAAGGTTGCAGTGAGCCAAGATCGTGCCACCATACTCCAGCCTGGGCAACAGAGTGAGATTCCATATTCAAAAACAAACAAACACACCCCAAAAAAACCTCCCTCCATAAAACAGTTATACAAGCTACCAATGATGAAGAGGTTGTTATGGTAAAGTGTCAATTATGATAAGGGTCCCCAAACCCAGGCTGAGGACCAATACCAGTCCGTGGTCTGTTAGGAACTTGTGGGGGCACAGCAGGAGGTGAGCAGCGGGTATTCAGGCCTGAGCTCTGCCTGCTCTTAGATCAGTGGAGGCATTAGATTCTCATAGGAGTGGAAATCCTACTGTGAACTACGCATGGGAGGGATCTAGGTTGCGAGCTCCTTATGAAACTATTGCCTGATGATAGGTGAGGTAGAACAGTTTTATATTACTTGACTTGTCAGCAACATATGACTGAGGTGATCACTTGCTCCTCCTGGATACACCTTCTTCAACTGGTTTCCAGAAAATTTCATACTTGATTTTTTCCCTTGCTACTTTTCAGTATCCTTTGATGGTCCCACTTCATCTCTGTGACCTCTTAATGGTGGAATACTCAGAGCCCAGACATCGGTCCTCCTTTCTTCTTAACCTAAACTCATTCCCTCCATCTGCTCCATTTAGTATAGTGGCCACTTGTCACTTATGGCTATTTAAATTTAAATTAACCAAAATAAAATTAAATATTTAATTCCCCAGTAGCACTAGACACATTTCAAGTGCTCAACAGCGACACTGACAAGTGGTTACATTACTAATTACCAGAGAAACAGCACATTTCCTTCCCTTGATAAGCACACCCAGTTTTTTGGTTGTAAATACATCTATCTGCTGATGGCTCCCAAATCTCCATCTCCAGCCCAGACCTTTCTTCTAAACTCCAGACTTAAATATCTGTCTACTTGACATTTCCATTTGGATGTTTAATTATTTCTCAACTCAACATGTTTTAAATCCCCAATCTTCCCTAAGCCTGTTCTACCTATAGCTTTCCCTATCTTACTTGATGGTCACTTTAGCCTTCTAGTTGCTTGGGCCAAAAACTCTGGACTCATCCTAACTCTTCCTTTGGGGCAGAAGTGAAGTTGGGGACATAGTGAGAGAAAGAGGGAGAAGCATAAGCCAGCTCACAGAAGACCTCAAATCTCACAGGTCATGGGGGAATCACTGAAAGGTTTTCACAGGTTATCAGGATCAAATTTGCTTTTTATTTTGAGATGGAGTCTCTCTCTGCCACCCAGGCTGGAGTGCAGTGGTGCGATCTTAGTTCACTGCAACCCCCGCCTCCTGGGTTCAAGCGATTCTCCTGCCTCAGCCTCCCAAGTAGCTGGGAATACAGGCACTTGCCACCACGCCAGACTAATTTTTGTATTTTTTAGTAGAGACAGGATTACACCATGTTGGCCAGGCTGGGGATCTTGAACTCCTGACCTCAGGTGATCCGCCCACCTTGGCCTCCCAAAGTGCTAGGATTACAGGTGTGAGCCACCGTGCCCAGCCAAATTTGCTTTTTTGAAGGATAGTTTTGGCAGCCGTGCAAGAATGAATTGGGTGTAACTGTTGGGAAAAGTTGGAGAATAAAAGGTTAGTGTGAGACTTCTGGGAAGATATGATGAAACCTAGAACTAAATACATCCTAGAAAGGGTAAAGAGGAGGTAGTGGATGTCCAGTCACAAAAAATACATATTCTTCAGTATTTGGTCAATGACTTAATGTGGAGGATAGGGGTAAAGGGGGAGTCCATAACTGTTTTCTGGTTTTGGTAACTAGGTGTAGTGGCTTAGATTTGAGAAAAAGGACATTTACTGAGCATAAGACACAAACACGTTGTGTTTTAGATACCTGTGGAATATTTTAATGGAGATGCCCACTAGACATCTGCATATGCAGGTCTAGTGCTTTCCCTGAATATGTGGTAGCTAAAGCCATGGGAATAGATGAGTTTTATCTAGGGAGATCATGTAGGATGAGAAGAGAACCAAAAGACAGATTTTTTTGGTGAGTCCTTAACAACCACAATACAAGTAAAAAGAGTAGCCAGCATTAGCAACTGAGAAGGACATTTTCAGAAAGGTAGGAGGAGAACCAGAAGGGAAAGGTTGAGGGCCAACTGAGTCTTAAGAAGAAAAGAATGGTTAATAGTGTGAAATGATGCAGTGGGGAAAGTAAGGTGAGAATTGAGAGTCCCCTGGATTTACTAATGTGATTTTGCAAGAAATGTTTTAGTGTGTTGTAGTGGAGTAAGAGTTGACAAACAGAAGACAGTAACTGTGGACTTCTTTATCCAAGAAACTTGGCTATGAAGGGAAGGACATAACTTACAGGAAAATCTAGGACTAAAGGCTTTAAATTTATTATTTAACAAAAGAAAATTAGTATGATTATAACCTGTGGAAAAGAAGTCGGCAGAGAAGAGGCTGAAAATAATGGGGTGATGGGGAGAAGAGAGCGAGAGCCAGAGCGAGAGAGCAAGAGAGAGAAAGAAAATAACAAAGGCTTCAGAAGAGCTGGTAGGAAGGTAAAACCAGAGTGGTGGCATCTGACTTTCTGACTGGTATAAGATGATATCTCAGTGTGGTTTTCATTTGCATTTCTCTGATGATCAGTAATGCTGAGCATTTTTTCAAGTGTTTTTTGGCCACTTGTAATTCTTTTGAGAAATGTCTTTTCATGTCCTTTGCCCAGTTTTTAATGGGGTTTTTTTTTTTTAAATTAAGTTCCTTGTAGGATGTGGATATTAGTCCTTTGTTGGAGGCATTATTTGTAGGTTGTCTGTTTATTCTGTTGGTTATTTCTTTTGCTGTGCAGAAGCCCTTTAGTTTAATTAAGTCCTATTTGTCTACTTTTGTTTTTGTTGCATGTGCTTTTGGGATCTTTTTCATAAATTCTTTGCCTAGGCCAATGTCCAGAGATTTTTTTTCCTAGATTTTCATCTAGGACTTTTATAGTTTCAGGTCTTACATTTAGGCCTTTAATCTATCTTGAGTTAATTTTTGTATATGGTTAAGAGATAGGGGTCCAATTTCATTTTTCTGCATATGGCTGGCCAATTTTCCCAGCACAATTTATCGAATGGGGTGTCCTTCCCCCATTGTTTATTTTTGTCAACTTTATTGAAGATCAGTTGGTTGTAGGTATGTGGCTTTATTTCTGGGTTCTCTATTCTGTTCCATTGATCTATGTGTCTGTTTTTGTACCAGTACCATGCTTTTTTAGTTACTGTAGCCTTATAGTATAATTTGAAGTCAGGCAATGTCACTCTGGATTTGTTTTTTGCTTAAAGCACCTTGGCTATTCAGGCTTTCTTCTGGTTCCATATCAACTTTAGGATTCTAATTCTGTGAAGAATGATGTTGGTAAATTGATAGGAATTGTGTTGAATCTGTAGATTGCACTGGGTAATATGATCATTTTAATATTGATTCTTCCAATCCATGAGCATGGGATGTTTTTCCATTTGTTTGTGTCATCTATGATTTCTTTCATCAATGTTAAGTACTCCTTGTAGAGGTCTTTCACCTCCTTGGTTAAATATA